GCCCCACAATCTTTTCCTAGTTTTCAACAAACTCAAAGGTGTACCTAAGATTTTCATCAGAGCTATCGTCGGATCATAGGTTTTCGGACGTCATAGGTTTTCGGACGGCCGTGTTTACCGCGATTACTCGCGCTATTAAGGGGGGTGTGGCATCACACAGACATTGTAAATACTCAGAGGATGGCTTGTTTTTAAGAGAAAATTGTCTTTTACGAGAAAATAAGATGTTTTGCAGTTGTTAACGTGATTAAAGCAAAAACTACGAATGTTTCTTAAGCATCCGAAATCCAATAACACGAGGTAACTCAACTTTTCAAATTAGAAAATTATTGAAATAATGATTTCGTTATATGACACATTTAATGACCATAATTAGTGTGTGCAACTGGTGTATTTGACAACACCCCCTAGCGTTGTTTATATGGGTTCACCCACATCACCTAATTTATTGATCACCTATTACCCAGGTCACCCATTACCCAGGTCACCTATTACCCAGGTCACCTATTACCCAGGTCACCTATTACCCAGGTCACCTATTACCCAGGTCACCCATTACCGCTAGAGAGAAATCAAAGCTCTCATGACCTAAATATTGACATAGATTTACGTTGGTAATGGCCATTCTTGAGCACAAAGGATCGCCAGTACTGTGAGTACGCTATGCATAGATGATTTTGCGTTGCTTTCCTTTATATATTGGTATAAACTCTATCACATGCTATGGTTTATGAGGACAAACTTGACTTGACTTTTTATATGATCATTGTCTATTGGAATTGCATGGTGTACTGATTATTACTCAAGTTCCGACATGAACTGCTAAACATTAATGTCGTCCTCCGCATGTTTTTGGCTCTAGCCTCCAAATACTATGGACCTACTCTATCTGCTATGTGTGCAATGTATATGTATCATTTGTCAACTTGCAGCCCCAACATCTTTGACTTTGTGAAATCGGTTAAGAACGAGCAATCCACAACCGAGGTGATACCTGCCCAGCAGTGTGGTCACACAAGGCAAATCACCTAGAAAACGTTGTCATGTTGCAGTCGACCAGAAGCTGTTGAGAGCTAAGGATTTTACGATACCGTCACATACTGCATCGGCAAATCTTCCGTTCACATTAAAGTCACGTGCGTGAGATAAGTGTGATAGGTCATTTAGGTATTTTTTGGATTATGACAATCAAGAGCTCTTTCAAGAAAACTTAGTGTTCAAGAATTACTTAATAAATCTGTCGAAATACCATTATACAATAGTGACAGCGGTATAGAATATATTGTAGAAGCGATATGTTTGTCTGATGCCGATATGAAACATGAAATCAGACGTTCTTGTTAATAAATGGTTTGACGCTGAGTGTGTGAGACTGAAAAAGGAAAGATGCAAACTTCTAAATAGGTTTCAAAACATAAAGACACTAATTCACAACTAAAGACACAACAGAGATATGAATTTTGTAAATAAAAACAAGAGTGTTTGGAAAATTCTGTTCTGTCCTCCAAAGTTTCAATGAAAAACATGCATCTATAAATAATATTTCCATTATTGATTGATACCAACACTTAGAAATCGTTTGTCATCCCCCAACATTGGAGAACAGTCTGTCCCGGAACCTACAGTACCAGATGGATTCGGTCGATATGATGCAAACCTAAATGTTACCGAGGATATTCTTGATTGTACCATGACTTTAGTAAATACTTGATTCTGATTGTTTGATTAAAGTCAATCAGAGATACATAACCACATCAAACAGATTTTCGGTTGCGCAATTATACATATTATACGTTGATGCACTACTTTCGCCTGCCCGCCAACATGTTGGACACCAAACAAACTACCAATACGGCGATGGATTACGGCGATTTTGCTGTCGGAAATTTCACATCTGTTTTCGAAGATGGATTTAGTGATGATGACCTCAACTCATGTCTTGCTCAAATCACAGAATCAGGTGAATATGTAAACAAATTACTCCGCAAGCAAGAGAAAAAAATATTCAGTCGAACAAGGCTAAATTTAAATATCGTTTGCTTTCCTAAAGATTCAGCTAAAATACATTGTTCCGTTGATTCCATTTCATGTTAAAATAGATGAAGCTGTTGTTTGTTAAATAAATTACAGATTTACTTGAACCTATTGTTAGATATCGTTGAGGATATGACCACTCACCATGACCCGCTAACGGTGGATAGGCCTACGTCAACATCGAACACCGAAGAAATGCTTTCAGTCCACATAAACATTTACACTTGGGGTAATAATTCAAACAAAACCATATATTTGGGAGAAAAATGTAAAGTTTTTAAATCAGCTGTAGTATAATTATAACTGTTGTAAAGTAAATTTTAAACAACCGATTTAGGTCCAACATGATATTTTTCTCAAATATATTATTTCATTTGGAATAATTGATTCAGTTACGACCCCATTGTTAATTACATTGCTAGAACTACAGTCAGTATATGCTATATAGCTACTATATAGCTATCTATGGACTTAATTATATCGATGATAAATCAACAAGTCAAGTAGGCACATCTAGGCCTATTCAAAGAATAGAATTGTCAAACCACGCAGATCCAAATGAAGAGATCTATACAATTATTTACCTGCACAATTAATGGTCAGGCCTAAATTATTATCACAAATTCTCCCTGATACGCATTAAATGCTTCCCATTCATTATAGCCGAGCGAAAATGGAAAATTAACTGACTGAATCACTTCCGGTTGAAGAATTGAATGCACGTCTAAGGCACTTTTACGAGAAAGTCCGTACTGCAGATGGCCAGTAATATTCAAAATCATCATCTGATCTGAGTGCAGCGATACTTCGTCACATTCGCGCTCCACCGTATGAGCGGAATATTTCCATTTTGCAAGACCAAGTCTTCCATACAGCCAACAATGTGTTTCTCGCCATGTAATAAATAACGTGGCCTTGACAACGCAAGACCACCCATACAACTTTCATACGGCGCGGTTTTGCGAAAGTTAGCGGAGTGTCCTGTTATAAACTTTCAGGGTTGAAAAGTTTCAAAGTGTTACACAATTTAGTATGATTGTTTAACGTTACCAAGCATTGTTATTTATGAACACACATGTTTTGCACGAGTATATGTATATTATACAGATATATTCAAAATTGGATCTAATTGACAGTCATATGGTTGTGGCTAGCATCACTTACTGATTATTCTATAATCCGCAAAAATCAAACTAAAACAGGCAGAATATGCAAAAAGGGAGTGAACTCTTTATCTGCTCCATATTGTGGAAACGCTAATCAGTCGGTGCATCGTCAGCGGGTGGCCATGCTCCAGCGTGGCTACAGCCATGACAGTCAGCTTATCTCAGTCCCAATATTATGCAGCCAAAGAGAAGCGCGTGAGGCTCGGGTAGTGAGTTAAAAGGGTCGGCCATTCCCACAGTTACGTCCCTTATAGGTGTTTACTTCGGTGTTCACGTGAGTCCATTTGTTGCTAGTATGAGTCTAGACACTTTGGAAGCACCAATATTGTGGTGTCAATAAACATCAACAAGTGCCAATAATAATCTGCTTCGTTATTATTATTCGTTGTTGAATGCTTCTCATGAAACACGACAAGTCACGCAGCTAAAAGGTATGTGAAAAACTATGCCATCTCATTTATGAAAAATAGTCCATGTAATTCATTCAGGTTTACACGTTTTAAATAATCCAAATTGAGAATTGTATGGATGTTCTAGAAATTGTATTTTAGAAGAAAGAAGGTCAAGGGAAAAGTCTCCGTGAGATATTAGTTTGTGACAGATTATTATTTTCACTACTTGGGGGAAAACATAACCATATTACATTGTGGCGCATGCTCAGGTAAAGTATCCCCTATTTGTGGCAATGTCCGACCATCCCAACCCTATCCTGGTAAACTGACATGTCAAGCTATCGGTGAGAAGCGAGCATGACACCAATGATGACACCAGGTGTTCTTGACAAGAGTAAGCATGTACTGAATGGAACCTGTGATGGCATGGACCAAACTATTTTCGCCCGCTGCGAAATATGTCAACAACGTTATAAATTGATTTAATAAAGTAAATGTGAGTTGAAACGTGTTTCATAATACTCGAAGATATAACTTTATGCGTGTGCAAAACAAAAACGTCGGTTTTGAGCAAAGGAAAATATTCTAGCCCATATCCGAAAGTGCTTTCGCCCAAGGGCGAACTATTTTAATATCACTATAAATTCGTTGAATTAGGATAAAATGAGTTTAATTATGTGTCATGGTTTTGTAGACAGACCTTTATATACTTGCCAAACAAAAAACCTAAGATCTGAGCGCAAAGGAAAATATTTACAAGGTCTGCCCATGGGCGACAAACAGTAAACTGCGGTTATAACGAACTGACGGATATAACGAACTATTTCTTTGGTCCTGTCTATTTGCTGTATATATTCCGTACGTTTGCTTATAACGAACTACGGTTATAACGAATTAAAATAAGTCGTCCCTTTGAGTTCGTTATAACCGTAGTTTACTGTAGTTTAAATTTTGAATTTCACTTTTTCTTCCTTCGTATTTACTCAAGAATCAGCATGTTGAAGATTGTAAAGACCTTTGACGGAGCGGAGAGCTTCTGGACAATAGGGCTTCCAGAATTACAATGAGACGTTTTATTACACTTTTTTTATGAATAACAACTACTTTATATTCTTTGTAACGACATTTCAAGGCTACTCCCTGCCCTTCATCAGGTGAATACTGAGTTAGCGCATAGCGTGAAATGTGTACACAAGGTAGACACTGTTACACAAAGATAACAATATATAACGGTAATAAAGATGTCCATGCTTTGGTCTCTGTTCATGGTCGTCTTCCTTCTTTGGATTTCAATAGTTTCTTGAAGTTTCCCCTTTCTCCAGTGACTGATAAAGAATGAAAAAAAAATTGTTTCCATAAAAATGTGACATGTCTTTCAATAGTATAGTCTTATAAGGATAACGATTATTCATTATTAATGTATTTTTCTGCACCTATAGAGAACTATATAGATCTACAGAATGGAAGGGGTTAAGCGACTCGATCACAAAGTTCAGTTTCACGGCGAGCGTGACGCAGCTGCCGCCATCAAATATGACATCATCGACGTCATACGTGAGTGTAAACGTTAGTACAGTATGTAAAACGTTAGAACAATATGATAGCGTTAGAAAAATATGTTGCCAAACACTGTTTAGCCACAAGATGTCATACATTGTCATTGTGACTTCTTAACTGTACAAACTGTTGGAGTGAGTGAGTGAGTATGGTTTTACGCCGATTTTAGCAATATTCCAGCAATATCACGGGGCACCAGCAATAGGCTTCACACATTGTACCCATGTCGGGTGTTCAAACTGTTGGAAATGGACACGGAATGACAATGGCCCTTTTGGGCCAACGGGGTATGAAAAGTTTATGGAAGAATGAAACTTTTATAGATTGTTATGACAGTTATCTCATAAATTCATATGACTATTCTTGTATTTTTTTTTCTTGACTCTTTCTTGTCATTTCTACTTACGTATTTTCGTTTACATGTAACAACTAAGTGTATACGTATGGCTACAATGTATTGAAAACGTTGAATTTTGAGTTTTTCCTTGACACAAGCTGATTTTTCTGGGGGATACAGGTATTACCCTTATCTGACATTATAGTGATGAAATATGATAAGATAATCATTTTGGGTGTCTTGAACATGTCAGATGTAACACTAAGTCCAGCATAAGAAAACAAACTGGCTGGTCGTCAACTATTTAACATATCATATACTTTTCATACCATTGTCACACACTTATCTGAAACTTAAATAATTTAAAATGTTAGCCTAAACGTTTTTCATCGTTTACGCCCGTGTATGAGATGATATTTGTTTAATATGACGTTGACTATTCTAAAAGTGGAGTAAAACATCACCTTAACGTCTTTGCAGGCAAGATCCCAGTGTCGTCCAACACGTTCCACCTGGGAGACTACGGCGTGGCGGATGTGTCGATATCGATGGACGTTGTACGGGCTATCATAGGTACTGCACAGTGTCTAATATCGCAGGGAGAAATAACATGCCCCTTCACATTGTAAGAAACGTTCATAATTAAGATACGTTCATCACTGTCGATTATCTCGGGGCATCTCCTGTGCACCTGTTTGGTAGATACATTGTTGTATTCTTCTTGAAGATGTTATATTCCCATTGCAGCTGTTTGGTAGATACATTGTTTTATCATCCAAAACTGGCTCCCACAGGAGATATCGCTTGGATGAGATCACGCGATGTCTACACTGTACATATTGCTGCAATGAAATTACATCACAATTCTTTGCAGACCATTGTGACGTCACTGGTTACCACGACGTCACAATCAAATGACATCACTAATGGCTCTGCTGCTGAAGCTGTTTGCAGTACTTTCTAAACTGAAGACACTGCTAATTACTGTCTACTGATTGAAAAAGTTGGAAGAATGATGTTGGATGATATAGAGAATCTCACCCGAGTGTCTTTTGATATCAAATATATCAACACGAGTTGATAAAAGTGGAAAAATCCGAGGCTTGCCGAGGATTTTTGCCACTTTTATCAACGAGTGTTGATATATTTGATATCAAAAGACACGAGGGTGAGATTTTATTTATCATCCAACATCATTCTTTCAACTTTTTCAATTTGTAGACAGTAATTAGCAGTGTCTTCAGTGTAAAAAGTACTGCAAACAGCTTCAGTAGCAGAGCCATTAGTGATGTCATTTGATTGTGACGTCATGGTAACCAGTGATGTCACAATGGTCTGCAAAGCATTGTGATGTAATTTCATTGCAGCGATATCTACAGTGTAGATATCGCTTGATCTCATCCAAGCGATATCTCCTGTGGGAGCCAGTTTTGGATGATAAAAATAAAATCTCACCCTCGTGTCTTTTGATATCAAATATATCAAAACTCGTTGATAAAAGGGGCAAAAATCCTCGGCAAGCCTCGGAATCTTTCCAACTCGTGTTGGTATATTTGATATTAAAGACCCTCGGTGAGATTCTCTATGTATCCCTCTTGTAGATGTTATATTTTCCTTGCAGAAGAGGCGGTGGGTTAGCCAAGTGGTTAAAGCGCTTTTCAGGCCGAAGGACCGGTATCTTGTGTATCCCGCCGCGATATTGCTGGACTATTGTGGAATATATACATTATGTGTGTACCTTTGCAGCTGTTTGGAAGGTATATTATTTCATTTCCCTTTCAGAAAAAATCCGCTGCCTCCATGGTCGTGACCTTGAGATCAGTGTCCTGTATGAAGATACCTATAAGAATGACTTCAACTCGCTCTTCCACAAACTGCATGGTAAGCATCATACAATAATCATGCACGTGCCACGTTCACATCATGCAGTTGACATAAATAGTGTCTGGTTGATTTCGGGATAAAGAATGTAACAGTAATGTGAAACATATAAATAATGTAACATTAATGGGAAACATATAAATAATGTAACATTAATGGGAAACATATAAATAATGTAACAGTAATGGGAAACATATAAATAATGTAACAGTAATGTGAAACATATTAATAATGTAACAGTAATGGGAAACACATAAATAATGTAACAGTAATGGGAAACATAAATAATGTAACATAAATTGGTAACATATAAATAATGTAAGATAAATGGGATACATACATAACCAACGCAACAGTGACGGGAAACATGTATAAATAATGCACCAGTAATGAAAAACATAAATAAATAATGCAACAGTAATAGGAAACGTGCATAAATAATGTAACAGTAATGGGTAATATAGAAATAATGCAACAATAATGGGAAACGTGCATAAATAATGCAACAGTAATGGGAAACATGCATGAGTAATGCAACAGTAGTGGGAAACATGCATAAATAATGCAACAGTAAAGGGAAACATACATACATAATGTAACAGTAGTGGGTAACATACATAAAAATGTAACAGTAAAGGGAAACATGCATGAGTAATGCAACAGTAGTGGGAAACATGCATGAGTAATGCATCAGTAGTGGGAAACATGCATAAATAATGCAACAGTAGTGGGTAACATACATAAATAATGCAACAGTAGTGGGTAACATACATAAATAATGTAACAGTAGTGGGTAACATACATAAATAATGTAACAGTAGTGGTTAACATACATAAATAATGGAACAGTAGTGGGTAACATACATAAATAATGTAACAGTAGTGGGTAACATACATAAATAATGCACCAGTAATGAAAAACATAAATAAATAATGCAACAGTAGTGGGTAACATACATAAATAATGTAACAGTAGTGGGTAACATACATAAATAATGCACCAGTAATGAAAAACGTAAATAAATAATGCAACAGTAGTGGGTAACATACATAAATAATGTAACAGTAGTGGGTAACATACATAAATAATGTAACAGTAGTGGGTAACATACATAAATAATGCACCAGTAATGAAAACGTAAATAAATAATGCAACAGTAGTGGGTAACATACATAAATAATGCACCAGTAATGAAAAACATAAATAAATAATGCAACAGTAGTGGGTAACATACATAAATAATGCAACAGTAGTGGGTAACATACATAAATAATGTAACAGTAGTGGGTAACATACATAAATAATGTAACAGTAGTGGTTAACATACATAAATAATGTAACAGTAGTGGGTAACATACATAAATAATGTAACAGTAGTGGGTAACATACATAAATAATGTAACAGTAGTGGGTAACATACATAAATAATGCACCAGTAATGAAAAACATAAATAAATAATGCAACAGTAGTGGGTAACATACATAAATAATGTAACAGTAGATGAGGAAATAACGCAGTCCATGATGCTTTTTTGAGAGATTTAGCACAACAAGTGCACATGCATTCCGCGTTTGCTTGTTCAGGGTATGTGGTTACCTTGAAGAAATATACACTGAGAACAATGGCATGACGTCAAAAGAATTGTTTATGAACGAATATTCGCTTGCTAAATAGTTGCGTCATGCCGTGCCCACTTGTGTCAATTCAAATGTGATCGGGACATGTACACTACTGCAACACTGGGTTCACTGGGTTCACGAGGACCCGTTATCAGTGGACATATGGTGTACATTCACAGTCGCTCTGTCGCTCACACGCTCCGTGGCTACGTGTAGCAAATAGAGTACGTGTGAAGAAAGTGCGGTAAAATGCAACGTAATCACGTGTGATCCTGGTGTTTGACTGTACTTCGTCTGTCCCCTGCAGGTCCCGTGTGTGAACCCCCCAGCTACATTGGCAGTGACGCTCGCCTCTTCACATCAGCATGCGCCACCAACTTCTACAAGCAGTGCGTGCCATCCCATTCCATGGACATGATTTTGTGTTTCATAGCACTGCACTGGCTCTCCAGGTAACACAAACAATTCACCGTCGTACTCCTTCTTTCAGGTACACTTTGGTGGACATATTTAGTGGTAATTTGGGGCCTTTGGTATCAGTACAACCTCAGCAACACAGATGCAATCTTGAACCTCGTCATAACCTTTTGGACATTGTTTTCGATCAAAGATTCGCCTCGAGCTACATCAAAGTGGCAAAACTCTATGGTCGCCTCCTTATATTCATGTTTTTTACGAACACCCCAAGAGCGTCATGTGACTCTTGCTCAAAAGTTGTTACAACATTCAAGGCCTTAGTGAAGTTTTCGAAACGTTTTATGGTAGACATGTGGAATTTGGTGCATCAGGCCAAAATGATTCCCGAAGATATTTCATGTTTTGACCATACGCTTTTATACTTGAATCGCCTTTGCAAGTGTTTGTGACGGTGCCACGGTACGCTCACTATACACTCACTGTGTAATATTGATTCATACGGATATACCTATGATATGGTATGTATCGTACACTGGATTCTGCTGATTGCTTATGATTATGACAATGGTTTTGTCGTTTTATTATTTTCCGTCATGGAGCGGATGCGCCTTGATTTCACTGCGCAATGATGCTGGTGTGGTCTGCCTGAATAGTTCGTTTCCACTTTTTGTTTAGAATGTTTTTCTTACATGAAACCGAATATATCCATATTTGTTGAATGCATTTAGACTACTGTGTTTTATACAAGACGTTGTGGGCGTTTCATAGAACATGTTTCCAGTAGCATTGTCCAAAGCTGTCTCCCCTTCCTTCCACAGTCCTGTTGACCTCAATGGCTACGTGACCTCTAACCTATTTCTGAACACAATGGCCAGGGACGCTGCCATGAAAATCGCAGCTGATGATTGGATGACCTTCCTTCACTGCAGGGCGAGGGAACTGAAGCAAGGTGAGGCGACTCTGGTCTGTCTCAGTCTTCATATCAATCTGTCTGAAGCACGTCTGCTGGTTTGATTCTTCTTTCTGCGCAACTCAAAATGTCAAATATGAGCGTGTCCTAATAACATACTATAAGCCAGTCAGCCGCCCACGTGAAGCAGTGAAGCCGAAGATTAATGATACCTTGTTTTATTATGCCTCAAAGTGAGATTGACCAATCAGAGAGCTGAACTACTGACCCCACATGAACCCCTATACCGTCAGCAAACATCCGAAATGGTTGTTACTGACCTAATATGAGACCTCATACCGTCAGTAACAGCCATTTTGTACGTTCCAACACCCACCTCACATATTTCACATGGAAATTCGGGTACAGAAATTCGACACTGTTTTGTGTTTTAATATCATTAATTATGATGAGCAAAGGCATTAATTATTAAAGAAACCACGTTGGTGACTTTATTTATAAAAATTATAGAAAAAAAAGCTTACAACGGAGGTCACTGAGTTACAAATAGCAATGTCATAGAACATACTTTAGGATGACGTCACAAACAAGAAACGTGACGCCAATGACGTCACATAGCAATAGAATAGATAGCAGTCCGTCGTTAAGGGAAGGCGGACTGCTATCAAGTTGCAGTGGCCCGCAGATTTCTGTAAACATGCGGGCATTTTTATGATAATTATATCCATTTTAGCTTCAGTACTTTAAACGTTTAGTGCATTATATATTCCATTGTTAACGTTTATAAAAGCGTTGTACCGGAAACATATGTACTGGTCCTGTCGTTTATACCGGATGTAAGTGTCAAGTTTTCATTTTGACATGACATGTGCGACAAAGATACCAAATAGTGTACACTTTTCGGCATAATAAAATCGTTATAGTGTCTTTAGTTGCCGTATTCGGTGTCATATTAGGTTAGCAGGAAAATATTGGGCGAGGCTCCCACGCCTCAATGTTTTCCTGCTAACCTAATATGACACCGTATACGGCAACTAAAGACATCATAACTAATAACATACCAAGACAAAAAGGGATTTAATTAAATAAAGAGACAAAACCGTTTCCATGTCCAATAGAAATCTCTGCATAAAGCAGAGTCGATTGTGCTATTCCGACTATACCATGAGCATGTGTTTATGAATCACTATCAAACAGTAATGATACCAGATGTTCGCGAAAAGGTGAGCGTATCCTGCCCCACCGGTGGCACCTATCACAAACACATGCACACACATGCAAATCCCATCTCGCGACATGTCAGTTATTTTTTATTGCAAAAGCGAATGAGAGTAGCGTCGCTATGAAACCGCATTGAAACAAAATGCATGTTTTTATCAATTTGCGGCAACACTATCATACACTACATCAAACCACAGGGACATAAATGTGAAAACATCACATCTAACCCATAGTTTAATCCTCTGTATGCAGGCGGCCATCTTGTCTGCTCCATCCCAATTCACGACCCTGAGCTCCTCAACGGTAATGGCGTCTCTTCCGGTGATGGCCTCTTCACAACCTTCAACATAATGCTCCGGAAGTACTGGAAACAAGGGAAGATATCCGAGGTGGGACGATTTCCAGTGTTTGAGAACGTAAAAGCAGCCGCAGAAACTCTTTACCCTGACTGCTAAAACACATGTTGATGTTATTTACTTCTGAGGATATGGAACCACAATGAGGATCAATGGAAAAGAATGTGAAAGAGCTTTATCATTTCTTTTTGACATATTCCGTATTTAACCTTTTAGATATTTGTCGCATATTTTTCTTAATTTGTTTGTGTCTCTATTGTCGAATGCGGATAAAAATTACACAAACCAGTTCTATAATTGCACCATGCAGCGGATATGTCAGCAAATTATTAAAAGCAACAAACGATTTCCATAGTCAAGAGACATATCTGTCCAAGCAGACCACATTAGAAGCATGTGTTTTTAAATCACTATCAGTGAATATGGGGGGGGGGGGGGGGGGGGGGGGGGCGTATCCTTCCCTAGCGATGACACCCTTCACAAACATACAGAGCCAAAGGACGTGTTCACCTGAAAAAAACACGGGATAATATCGTACAAGTCAAAATAGGAAATTGCGCCGGACATCGTTTTGATTACTGACGCGTCAATTCTGGAAATACCCTCTCTAAGGGTAAAACATATTTTTATTTAATAAATGAAATCCGGAAAAGTAAACAAGAAAAACATTGCTTGTAAAAATAAGGCTTCAAGAAAAACTTTATCTACGCACGTTCATGTTGAATATATATGTAAATATATAAAATCAATCTGTTACCGCAAACTTGAGCCAGGAGTGTCCGAACTTAAGGAATGCAGTATCTTTGTTTCAATATTTTATCCAAAATGTATTTAGATCATTATAACCCCTATTCGAATATGGTGACTTAATGACACCAGTGGTGACTTAATGACACAAGTGTTGACGAGGTGGTGTAATGACAGTAGTGTTGATTTAATGACAGTAGTGTTGACGAGATGACGTAATCACAGTAGTGTGGATTTTATGACACCAGTGGTCACGAGGTGGCGAAAGTTGTGTGGATTAAATGCAGACATAATTGTAGACGGTGTGTTTTATGATGTCAAAGACTTATATTATCTTTGTTAACGCCAAGTATCAGACAGTTTTTTGGCAGACATACGGACTGATGGACAAATTGTAACTGTTGTACATTTAGGTGCTATTGCAGAATATGATTGCAGATTTTGATTGATGCAACTATGAGTACAACCTGTACAAATTGAATATTGAAGGTGGAAATGAAGAAAGCTGTTTTGAAGGAATACTTCCGGACAGTTAAAGAAATCAGACAACCTTTTGACGACCTGGCGTCGCCTATCATAACATCTGGATTAAAACTGTCGCGGCTGCAAGTGAAGCAGATTGAATGTCAACACAAGACCGCATGGAGGAACAGCCTCGTCAAAGGTACTGTACAGACTTTGTTTGTTTGTTGTTTAACGCCGCAAACAGCATTATTCCAGCTACATGACGGCTGTAAAAATCGAATCTGGACCAGACAGCCTAATGAGTGACGCCACGAGTATCGATCTACTGAAATGGGATACGATGCCATTCTTTCAATCAAGTTAGTAAGCCATCGGAGAAGTTAACAATTCTCTGACGTCACTGTATTTTTAATCGATCCTCACGAATAAAATGTTGGTTGTCGATTATTCATAGCTGCATTATCTTGAACTCACATTTAAAAAAGTGCACACTTGGCGGAATTATTGTTTTGGGTTTGAAACACAAGTGAATGATTTATATTTATTTCTTAAAACCTGTGTCACCAGCGGGGGTCGATCCCACAGGGAACACAAACCTAAACCTGGTCTCATAATTTAGACGCGTTTAGGGACTAAACATGTTTAGGATTGTTTATTAGGTAACTTAAAACACGAACGCTTTATTTATGTTTGTTTTTTAGCGTTATATCTTTTTAATTGTTGGTTTGGGATATAGAAGTATGGTGGGTAACTTAAACATTTGTGAGGTGTACATCTTTCATTGTCAGCTTCCGTTTCCTGTCTGATAGAAATACTATTCGTCCCACAGCGACAACGCATGTATAAACGCAACACTTTAAAAAGCTCGGCGGAATATGAACCTGCAACTTCTTGTTTTGTAGTCAAAGTCAAAGTCAAAGTCAAAGATATTTATTGCATGTAAGGCCTCCGTCCCATATACAAGAGAGTTACAAATAAGTAGCTTTGCATATTTTGATATATACTCATGTTTAACAATTAGTTTCTGGGGGAAATTGCATTTTGAACATATATAGCCAGTTTTAATATGACGGCATCATCTTTTGAAGAAAGAAGAGAAATAAAAGCAGGCACAGGATAATTTGACAGATAGCGTTCTGGTATAAACTTGTTTCTTAGATCACAATAATAAGGACATACAAAAGTAAAATGAATTTCATTTTCTATAACTGAATAACATAATGGGCATAACCTCTTCGACTTTTCAGTTGACATCTTTCTTCCTTCGTTTATTATGAGATCTAACAATCCGAGGCTAAATTGAATAAATGGACGTGGAAGGGTTCTCGATGTTATTGTAGATAAGTATTTTTCTGTCTAAACAAGACTCTTAAAAGTTCTATACAAGTCATACCTTGAACTGTTTTCTAGAGTGGAATGCCATTCCTGGTAAACGTATTTATAGATTGTTCACGAAATTGTTTCAAAAAGAGTTTAACATCACCAACTGTTTAGATTAACCATCACAGAGCCAGAGCCATGAGAAAACAAAAGGTTTCTAACATGTGATATTCATGTTCATTTGCCTATGTCATCTAAATGTACAAGAATATTATAAGCAAGTTTGAGGATTCGGCGCTCATGCATTTCAAGAATATCAAACCAGTATTTCAAGCATCTAATTTGGGAGTTGATGTATAACGGGTATCTGCCACACTCGCCATATACCATACAATTGGGTGTTGATGTACCAACGGATAAGAATCTTTTGCAGGCTAAAAGATGTAGCTTTTCGAGACAATCGTATCGCTGCAATCCCCATATTTCTGATCCATATAACAGGATTGGTTGAATTTGGGCATCGAATAATTCAAAAAATATATTCGGTGTAAAAGCTCGTACTTTCTGCGACAGACGTTACATTGATTAAGGCCTTCTTTGCACGGGATGTTAAGTCCCCGAAACTTTTCTTGAAGTTCATCCGAAAATGACAATATTTATTTTATCATAGTTAACTGATAACTTCCAATCTTTGGTTGTTTTTGTAGTCCAAAAACAGAATCTGATACTAAAATGACATCATCGGCAAAAAGGAGCATCAAAATTTCTATTACATTTGGGAGCATTTGAATACCATGTTTACCCTTAGCTATAATTTCATAGTATAATTCACTAATAAAAAATGAGAATAATATGGGCTCAAAATACATCCTTGTCGTAAGCCAACAGGACAGTCAAAGACATCGGGTACATCGTCACCGGATTGTACACATGATTTGATATTTGAATACATAGCTTTTAATGTAGAGTACATTCTCCCCTGAAGACCAATAGTTCTTAAACACTACCATAGTTTATAACGATCAACAAAGTCAAAAGTTTTCTTTTTAAAAATCGACAAAGGCCACATACACTTTGTATTTACGACGTGATAGACATTTTTGTATTATTGCATGTAATGTGAATATATGATCTGACGTTGAGTATTTTTTATAAAACCAGCTTGAGTTTCGGGAATCTTATCTCGTGTGTCAGCCCAAATCGTAATCCTGGAATAAAATAATGATGTAAAAATTCAAGAATACTTATTAAGGATATTCCCCTATAATCGTCTGGGTTGTCCTTTCTTGTGTATTGGAATAATTACCGGACAAGACCAGCTTCTGGAGAATATACCACTATTAAACATCCTATTGAAACATTTTTGAAGAAAAGGCATCATCTCACATTTGGGACATTTTATCATTTCAACCACAATATGGTCAGGACCAGCAGCTTTTCCACTTTTTAAATGCATTATTGCGTCCAGAATTTCATCCTGTGATGTGCGTGATCCATAATATCGTCAAACACATCACTGTCAGTGTAAAAAAAACAGGGTCATTTATAAAAAAAAAATCATAAAATGTATAAGCCTTTGAGATACCATCTTTTCTATTTGTCTTTTAATGAGCGTATTCATTTCCAAAACTTAGAGGGAGAATGGATAGTATCACTCAGTTTAAAGTTCCTTCAGCAGGATTGTAGTGATTTCTTTTTTCGAAGTAGATGTATCTAATAGAGTCAGTACCTCTACGTCTAAATGTTCTCAATGCTTTTCGAGCATCTCGTCTAGCAATCTTACATTCGTCACTTAATGGTGCCTTGGTATGTTGATAATGTATAATTCTAGTTCTTTTCCTTATACAATCTGCTGAATCTGAGATAACATGGACGAAATCATCTATAGCCCTATCTATGTTAAAATCCAGTTTACTCAAAAATAGTTGATTACAAAACACCATCCTTTCCTGCAGGCTGTTCAAAAACGTTTCACAAAGAGATTCATTCCAAACAATCTTTTCTTTGAAGCAACCAGATGTTGGCTTATCGTTTTGGCTGTTCATGTTTGGGAATTTACATGTTAATTCTAATGCTAAATGATCGGGCTCTATACGATCACCAATGTTGAACATGTCAATGTATTGAAAAGGTCCGAAGAACAGATAAAGTAAACATTCACACTACAGCCCTGGTGACCACAATATGTATATTCCCCTCCTGCGTCTCCATATACCCTGCCGTCAACAATAAATAGCTGGAATGAATAACACATGTCCAGCAATAACTGCCCAAATCTGTTTATGACACTATCATGGGATTTACGATCATTAATAGGTAGATGTTTCTCCTCAGATCACTGAATGGAATGTTGTGTTTATCGAAAGCTTCATCAAAGTTAGCACATTGGTGGCTTTGTTCACCGGTACGTGCATTCACATCACCACAAATAACTGTGTTAATAATAATAAGAACTGATCAAGCAGATACTATCGTTATAGTATGGCGAGCCCGACGGTGGGATATGAGTACATATATAAGTACTTTATCTAAACATGTTTAGATTAAAAGCAAAATACACAACGAAGTGCATTTTGTCGTAAAGATGTTTAAACTCTAAACATGGTTAGATCATGGGATGTTGTGAGTAGGTGTTGTTTACATTGTGAGACGATTGCTCATTTCACGTGTTTAGACCCTAAACGTGTTTAGATAGAACACACCTAATGTCTATTCTGTTCAGGATTTTAACACAGTCCTAAACATGTTTAGATCTGAACTTGTCTTGTAAGTGGTTGTATTCTAAACACATATTTACAGTGTACAGATAGTACTAGGAGAGTTTAGTTATAGTTCTATTTTGATCCTGGGCTACTCCTGACGTGCATACTGCTGGTTTATTTTTTGTCCATATGTAAAAATGCATACTCTCGACGCGTAATGCTCTTGGGTGTTTGAGCTTGTTTTCATGAAGGTGTGTTCCATACCGCCTGCAATTAATCAGAGCTCATGTACGACCACAGATGGAATCGATGACCGTGAACGGTTTGCCCATGAAATCGGAGAGATGATCCGTGCATGGACACACGGCACCATGGAGTCCGCCCTGACAACGACCAGAAGAGCTGCCGAGAAAGACGACCTCCTTGACGACTTCTACTCTGACCTGAAACACCATCTACTTGACTACAACCCCGACACATTCAACAGCGAATACCTACTAGCGTATGTGTTTATTGAGAAAGCATGAGCCCCAACCATCGGTACTTCTATATTCTATACTTTTGATATGAAACATGCAGTCTTTTTTCTATTTCACTACCTCAAGTCCACTGAAGCTGATGTTTCAGAACCTTCACATCATGATTTGCATAGAATGAATCTGTGGTAAATGTCTCATTACGTGGAAGTATTACTCATATCACATCGTGTGTAATGGTATGTGTTATAACGTTGTACATATCCGTTCATTAGACTCATTGCATAGTTACATTGTGTAAATATATTACATGCATATCAACAATAAAAATGAAATTGGTATCCGTGTTTAAGCAATTATTTTCTGTATTTTACATCAGGATTTCGTTATTTCTTTACGGTCGTGTCGCATTTAATCCTCACTTCCGTAATGTGAGAAAAACCCGTTAGTTCAACATTTTTAGATAGATCTGACCCAACTTGGCACACACAATCTCTGCTTTTAAGTACCGTATTATTGCTAGTGTTACAAGAACACTTGACTTGAGTCTGGATTCACTCCACTTCAGTTCTGATAGGTCGACATTTTCAATCAACATTCAAGACTTTAAGGTCAGTATTATTCATTGCTCTATAACCTGAACGAAGCAGAATATCCGCACGTGCACTCAGCAGACGTAATTCAAACTTAACACAGCCTTTAGTACTTGTGTCAGGTTGTCACTGGGTTGACTGGTCGTCCATCACTTCATTGTCTGGTCAAGACTCGATTGTTTGCCGGCCGCCATCATATGGTCGGACTCCGGCTGTGTGGCGTCAGGCAACAAGACAACACGTACTTTGTAAGCCAGTTGTGTGAGTGGAGGGCGCCATCACTCATTTTCACTGATCCATTTACGCCCATTTACGTCTGAGTGGAAATCGCAGCTACATTTTGAATAGACAATTCAAAGAACAAGAAAGAATCACGTAGCTCCAGAACATCCACATCCCTCTAACATCAAGAACATGTATGTACATAATGATGACCCAATGGCTGGCAATATCAGATAATCCACATCCTTTTGCACATGACGGATCTCTCTCTATCTATATATATATGGATGACCCAATGGCTGGCACTATCAGACAATCCACATCCTTTTGCACATGACGGATCTCTCTCTATCTATATATATATATGGATGACCCAATGGCTGGCAATATCTGACAATCCACATCCCTCGCACATGACGGATCTCTCTCTATCTATATATATATATGGATGACCCAATGGCTGGCAATATCAGATAATCCACATCCCTCGCACATGACGGATCTCTCTCTATCTATATATATATGGATGACCCAATGGCTGGCACTATCAGACAATCCACATCCTTTTGCACATGACGGATCTCTTCTCTATCTATATATATATATGGATGACCCAATGGCTGGCAATATCTGCGGGTCTCAGACGTTTACCACTTCGGTGAAACCCAAACCCACGAGCACGGGTATGGTGCTGACAAACCAAGAAACATAATCGGGGCGAACCCACAATAATAGGTTTCTGGCGTTCCCAATGTAACACAATGTCCCAAAGCTGTACTGTCCTTCTGAAATGCATGAGATAACAAATGTTGCAACGAGGAAACGTGAAGCTGTCATCCTAATATGTCAATGAATCGTACCCGCATGTATATTTGGTATGGGAATTAAGGGAATGATTTAGTGTTATTGTCAGGTGCAAAGCCTGGCGTGAGGGAAGACTTCGACGGTCAGCCTGGAGACGGTGGAGGTGGAAGAGGGACGGAGCGCAGGAGTTGGCCGCCTCAACCAGCACGACTGGGCACTCTCCATTATAAACCTATTCATTGGGATCGCTATTAAGTAAGAGACTTCTTTCTATAGGCATTAAAACCTATTGTAATGTTTTACTTTCCAGTCGGGTTAAATCTCATAAACAGGGACGTTGTAATGTCCCTGGGATATTATATAATATCCCAGGGATTTAATATAATGTCCTGGGTAATTTATTAATATAACTTCCGTTCAGATTGTAACATGTAATGAAATGTAAAATCAAATGACAAATGTTTTCTTTATATTCCCGAGGATCGAAACTCACAACCTTCATATCTGTAGCCCAGTGAGTGTACCACGAGGCTACAGTGCTCTTCGTAAGCCTCACTGGTTTTTAGAATGTCCTTTTCAAGATCCGTACGCCAGCAACAGATATTTTACGCGCGTTTCCTAAGTTTCATGGAAAGTATGCTCGAAACATAAAAATGTTTATAAATGTTGTTTTAAGTTTCTTTTTCGGTTTATAAGCATGGAAAAACACTTTCCCTCGGTTTTGGTAGACAGAGCATGCCCTGGGGGTCGGGAAAAACCGCGGGGGCTTCGCCCCCTTCGTTTTTCCCTCTCCCCAGGGTATGCTCTGTCTACCAAAACCTCGTGAGCGTGTTTTCTCCAATACGTAACTGATGATGAGAGTGGTATGAGAGGTTGTATGGGTGAAATGGGAGGTGGTATGGGTGGTGGGATGGGAGGTGGTATGGGAGGTGGTATGGGAGTCGGTATGGGTGAAATGGGAGGTGGTATGGGTGGTGGGATGGGAGGTGGTATGGGAGGTGGTATGGGTGAAATGGGAGGTGGTATGGGTGGTGGGATGGGAGGTGGTATGGGTGAAATGGGAGGTGGTATGGGTGGTGGGATGGTAGGTGGTATGGGAGGTGGTATGGGTGAAATGGGAGGTGGTATGGGTGGTGGGATGGGAGGTGGTATGGGAGGTGGTATGGGAGGTGGTATGGGTGAAATGGGAGGTGGTATGGGTGGTGGGATGGGAGGTGGTATGGGAGGTGGTATGGGAGGTGGCATGGGTGAAATGGGAGGTGGTATGGGTGGTGGGATGGTAGGTGGTATGGGAGGTGGTATGGGTGAAATGGGAGGTGGTATGGGTGGTGGGATGGGAGGTGGCATGGGTGGTGGGATGGGAGGTGGTATGGGAGGTGGTATGGGAGGTGGTATGGGTGAAATGGGAGGTGGTATGGGTGAAATGGGAGGTGGTATGGGAGGTGGTATGGGTGGTGGGATGGTAGGTGGTATGGGAGGTGGGATGGGTGAAATGGGAGGTGGTATGGGTGGTTGGATGGGAGGTGGTATGGGAGGTTGGAGGTGGTATGGGAGGTGGTATGGGAGGTGGGAGATGGTATGGGTGGTGGTAAGGGAGGTTGTATGATTGATATAGGAGGTGGTATGGGTGGTGGTAAGGGAGACGGTATGGGAGGTGGTATGGGAGGTGGGATGATTGACATAGGATGTAATATGGGTGATGGTAAGAGAGGTGGTAAGGGAGGTAGTAAGGGAGGTGGTAAGGGAGGTAGTAAGGGAGGTAGTAAGGGAGGTAGTAAGGGAGGTAGTAAGGGAGGTGGTAAGGGAGGTGGTATGGTAGGTATGGGAGGTGGGATGATTGACATAGGAGGTAATATGGGTGATGGTATGAGAGGTGGTATGGGTGGTATGGGAGGTGGTAAGAGAGGTGGTTTGGGAGGTGGTAAGGGAGGTGGTATGGGAGGTGGTAAGGGAGGTGGTATGGGTGGTAAGGGAGGTGGTATGGTAGGTATGGGAGGTGGTATAGGAGGTATATGTGACACGGGAGGTGGTAAGGAAGATGGTATATTTAGTGCGGCTGGTAGTATGGTTGATATGGGACGTGGAAAGGGTGGTATGGCTGGTAAGCTAAAGGAAACTGGTGGTGTGGATGGTGGTATAGCTCGTATGAGTTGTGATATTGGAGGTATGGGTGGTAGGGTAGGTGGTATTAGTAATGATACATACAGGAGGTGGTATTGGTGATACGGGAGATGGTGTGGGTGATATGAGAGGTGAAATTGGGGGTATGGATGGGGTATGGGTGATACGGGGGGTGGTATGGGTGATATGAGAGGTGAAATTGGGGGTATGGATGGGGTATGGGTGATACGGGGGGTGGTATGGGTGACATCAGAGGTGATATTGGTGGTATGGGAGGTGGTATTGGTGATTCAGGAGGTGGTGTTATGGTAGTTGGATTGAGTAGTATAGGTGATATGAGAGGTGGTATGGGGTGGTATGGATTGAGTTGTCTGGTTGTGAACTTGATGGACTGAGTTCATAAACGTGCTACTATGGTTATTGTTGATGGTGTTGATGGTAGTGGGGTCGGTTATATGGACACCGATAGTGGAGGGGTAATTGGTGATGGTGTGGACGGTAGTGGGGTCGGTTGTATGAACACTGATAGTGGAGGGGTTATCGTTGATGGTGTGTACGGTAGTGGGGTCGGTTGTATGGACGCTGATAGTTGAGAGTTTATTGGTGATGGTGTGTACGGTAGTGGGGTCGGTTGTATGAACACTGATAGTGGAGGGGTTATCGTTGATGGTGTGTACGGTAGTGGGGTCGGTTGTATGGACGCTGATAGTTGAGAGTTTATTGGTGATGGTGTGTACGGTAGTGGGGTCGGTTGTATGGACGCTGATAGTTGAGAGTTTATTGGTGATGGTGTGGACGGTAGTGGGGTCGGTTGTGTGGACAGTGATAGTGGAGGGGTTATTGGTGATGGTGTTGATGGTAGTGGGGTCGGTTGTATTGACGCTGATAGTGGAGAGTTTATTGGTGATGGTGTGTATGGTAGTGGGGTCGGTTGTATGGACGCTGATAGTGGAGGGGTTATTGGTTATGGTGTGTACGGTAGTGGGGTCGGTTGTATGGATAGTGATAGTGGAGGGGTTATTGGTGATGTTGTGTACGGTAGTGGGGTCGGTTGTATGAACACTGATAGTAGAGGGGTTATTGGTGATGGTGTGTACGGTAGTGGGGTCGGTTGTATGAACACTGATAGTAGAGGGGTTATTGGTGATGGTGTGTACGGTAGTTGGGTCGGTTGTATGGACAGTGATAGTGGAGGGGTTATTGGTGATGGTGTGTACGGTAGTTGGGTCGGTTGTATGGACAGTGATAGTGGAGGGGTTATTGGTGATGGTGTGTACGGTAGTGGGGTCGGTTGTATGAACACTGATAGTAGAGGGGTTATTGGTGATGGCGTGTACGGTAGTTGGGTCGGTTGTATGGACAGTGATAGTGGAGGGGTTATTGGTGATGGTGTGTACGGTAGTTGGGTCGGTTGTATGGACAGTGATAGTGGAGGGGTTATTGGTGATGGTGTGTACGGTAGTGGGGTCGGTTGTATGGATAGTGATAGTGGAGGGGTTATTGGTGATGGTGTTGATGGTAGTTGGGTCGGTTGTATGGACGCTGATAGTGGAGGGGTTATTGGTGATGGTGTGTACGGTAGTTGGGTCGGTTG